AATTTTTGGAATCGAAAATTTTCACAACTATCAGATTGCCTTTATCTTGTATATCATCGAGAGTGATATTTACAATCTCTGCTCTGCGGAGAGCACCAGCTAAAGCAAAAATGGTACTCACTTTAATCATAAGATATACCTCATCAGGGGCTAACATAAACCTGGATATATCTTCTTTGGTAAAAACCTGCGCCTTCTGTGCTCAAAAACCAACATTTTTTTGTTTTAGAAATGACGTTAACTTATGGAACTGGCTTATATCCAAATTTTGTTTTATTTTTACTAAACTTTTCACCATCGAATAGCGAGACCATAAAGTATTAGATTTCAAAAACTTACTTAGGTGCGAAAAATACGCCAGAAACACCTCTTCTTTGTAGGTTTTTACCCCTTCCTGTTTACACCATGTGACAAAATGGTCGTATTGTTTTTCATATCTTCCTCGTGATTTGGCAGGTAACACCTCCAAATGTGCTTCATTTGCAGCTTTTAAAATGGCTTCGGGCAGCTCTTCATCCGATGAATCCATTATTTCTTTAATTTATTTTAATTCAGTTGACGCTTCAACAAACAACTTTGACGTTTTTGACGCCTTGGTTACCATATAGCAACCATATCAAGCCATACATGTCACAGCCTAGTCTGACTTTTAAAAATATACAGAAGGTATATAAAAATATCTCTATTATTCAAGTTTTCCAAAAAATTAAAATTATAACAAAAAGCAAGAAAAAAAGTAAATTTGATTAAATGGAATAGTTGGAAAATACTAAATTACCTATTGTAACAATAGTTATAACATCCGAGGTAAAAAAACTATACAATAGGTAAGGCCAAATATTCATAATTTTACTTTCCCGCACTAGTGCGGGAAAGTGACACTTTCAAAACTAAAATGCGTGCGGGAAAGTGGGTAAAAATACACGGTCGTAGAAAAACATTTTTACAAAATCTATTGTATTTGCCGAAGTGTATGATTTCATGGATCACCCTAAATAGTTTTATGATAAATTAAATGCATAGAGACTATGAGAAGGCGCAGAGAGTTTGAAATGCTTTTAAATCCAAAACTTTGGAATCTCATTCTGATCTATATTTAAAATTAGATTTTTTTGATGTCATGTGATGAATTTGAAAAGTTTAAGGACCTATCACTTAAAGCTTATCTATATTCATCTCAATATAAGACATCTCTCCTGTCCTGTCATGGGATGCTATTTTACATTAGATTAAGATGGAATTGGAACTTCTGACACATGTAGATAATATGATTAAACTCTTTAAAAATCGTATACGCAGTGGTATTAGTCAATGTGTGAAAAGAAAACACATTGTCAATAAATTCGTAACTTGTTTCCTCATGGTTTATTGTTAAAAATAGTTTTACTCTTTTCAAGGAAAGCTGTGATGATCGCTTTCTAAAACCGAGATTTGTACCTAATAATTGCTACCTTTTATATAAACAAAAAAAAAAATGTGTTTGCTTTGGTAAAAAATCTCAATTTTCCCACTTTATCCGTTCTAATTCCAAATAAATCCTACAAAGTTGTAAACGTCGGACTTGGGACTCATTTAGTAAAGAGCTTTTCAAATAATACAAAATCCCTTTAGACTGATAGATATTTGTGTTTAATCAAGGTTGGATTTTTTATTTATCTAAATCGCGAACATGAAACAAATTTAAAGGAATTACACATGAAATCCAACTAAAGCTTCATGTAATTTAATATATGTGACGCTTAAAAATTGGTCTAGCTTTTTATTGGCGGATTTACTAAATCGCCGTTTTTTATTGTCATTGAAAAACTGGAAAACATTGAACTGAATAAAAAATCTAGACATATTAATTTTATTTTGGTCATTGTTGGAACGTGAGTTATTTTAATTTATTGCTGTTATACATGATTTTATTTGAATCCTAATGACTGACGCAAGGGTGTATATACGCGGGGGTAATCGGGGTAATTACCTCCACTCAAGAAAATGGACGAGAGCATTATAGAGATTTCCAGAAGCCTATTTATAATTTATTTACACTTCTAGTTTTTTAACAATTTATTTATACTAATTTATATCACATTTACTTTATTGATGTTTTCACAGCTATGACTCGACTTCAACTAACTACTTCCTGTGCAACACAGCCCATTTATATAGGGTGTTCCATCTCAGACGAGCCACCCCGTATATTTCTTATCCCATAGTAATTGGAAAATTTTCCCGAAACACGTCGAATGATTTTCTTTAGGGGACATCTTCTGACGTATATTTAAGGCTTGAACGAGCAACCCCCTATGAGGGGGCGCTTCAACCCCTCAAAATTGAATAGGGAAGAAGGGTTGAGTGATACTTTATTTGTAAGGTCTTGGAAGCCTCTTTACAACGGTGTATAAAAAAATCACATTCTTAAAAAGAATTAATTGTTTTATCATGCTTACAATCAAAAAAATCAAAACTACGTTTTTAAATCAAATGTTAAAATTTAAGGACATTCAATCAATATCCTTGCATCCATATACTATTTATATAGGTTTAAGAGGGGATCTATTTTATCCCTATCGATATATAAAACTCTCTGATTTGATATTGGTAGATACTTCAATTAATTACTAATTCAATCCGATTTTCCCAATACAATAACTTTTTGGATTGAATGGTATTATTTCTGGGACTCCGAAAGAGTATTAGAATCGTTTTTTGTGTTTTTTTTTTGTTAAAACCTCTCAGAATCAATTCTGACGAAAGTCTCTAACACGTATAAAAAGATATAGTTCAAATATTTGAAGGAGTTTCAAGTCTATATAATACGCACTTAATACCCAAAGATAATTTAATCAATTTATATACTAAATTGGATGAATAAAAAAATATTATTTAAAAGAAGAAAGGAAAATATTTTCGCAGACATAAGGTTTTTTCTTTAAAGAATAACACAATAATATTTATGTGTGTGTTCAGCTGAAAATCGTTGGAATAAGAAAATCTTTAGATCAATTTTAACGCTATTGAGTATGTAACATAATCCATCAATATTTGACAACGGTTTTTATTTACACCATTATCGTACAAGTGATTCATCTTTATAGGCATTTTAGACTAAATTATTTGATCATGTTACAAAATAAAAACAAAATGGAAAGCTTATCCTATATTAATAAAAAAACCTGGTCAATTAAATTATTTTATAATTAACTGATTATATTTATTTGGCTTTTGAAATCATTTTCTTATAATTACAAGTTATTATGGATTGATAGGTAGTGTTTACGTTGGGGTTTTGCCAAAACGAAGGTACTGGGCAGTAGGTTTTTACCTTAAAAAACTCCTTATCTATCATAATGAAATGCTGATGAAAAATACATTTTTTTATTCACTTACTGATAGGAGTGACTATACATTTTATATACATATATGTACACTAAACTAAAGAGTGGCGTAGCCTGAATTTAAGTTTGAGGGTAGTGGAAATATTTAAGGCCTTATTAAATGATAATACATTTTTAGTAGCTATAAAAAGTTGGGTTAAAAAATTATTGGTGTAGTACTTTGTCATTTCTGATCCCTAGACTTGTATTTATCTATGCACGGCTTATTTTTGTCTCATCATATAGCATATATTGGCCGTAATTTTTCTAAAAACGTGGAGTAGGGTTAAAATGATGTGAAACACACAAATTAAATCTTGGCTCAAAGCATACTCATCTCGAAATTAACTTCAAAAGCAGCTCGTATTTCCAAATTACCATAATTACTTATAGAATCAGAAACAGAGTTATTCAAAACTCTTTTTAATGTACTTAAAAAGTTTAAATGCGCTCCCATCTTTAGAGCAAAATGAAAAAATTAGTCAAAATGAGCCGAGAAAGCCTTACAATTTATTATTCAGTTTATGAAATTACTGAAAGTTGATTTGTAAACTGTTCATCTTTTCGGATAAATGAAAGCAATATTCTTAATTAAGTAACTTGAAATTTTAAAGGATTTTCATATGTTCATTCATAATATTATTAAAAAATAGATAGGGAGATTTTAAGAGCCCCACAAAAAAATTAGTTAATTAACTTTTTAAAATAATATTTTAAGCTCAATTACTGTGATATTGTTTTGATATTGTCTTTGTTATTATTCAGATTTATTTTTTGTTTCTGATACAATTTTAACCAAATTTTAGGAATGGTAAAGGTTCCACATATATATATTTTTGATATTTATGTTTACTTTCCCTCCAAACATTTTATTAAAATTGTATAATTTGGTTTTCCATATAAATTTTATTGGGATTTTATTAGTTTCTTGAATAAAACAAATATAAAAACGCATACAATGTTTAAAATATAAAATATTATATGAGGGAAAATAATTTGGTACGCCTATGCATAAATAGCTTGTGAAAGCAAATCAGACGCTAAGGTTTTTTGTTAATTCAATTCATAAGTATACAAAAAACCTTTGAACCTCTATCTTCTCTTATACAAACGTACGTAGTGAGTTGCAAAAACTTTAAAGGCCACTTCCAAAACTTCCAGTAATTTGCAAGTCACGATAAGGAAAAAAGGGAAAAAAGAAAAACTTTGTGGACTTATCCGTGACAGGACTACTCAAATGGCTCAACTACAGAAGCGTTTTTATTAGAAATGACAAAAATTGAGTTTATATAAGCAGTTCTTTTTTTTTTCTAAAAGAAACTTGAATAAAGGAAGGATTTTATGAAAATTTGGTAAACGAGAAAGCTTTAAGGTTACGCATCACACTTAAAATTATATGAAAAAGAAAACGATGAAATCATAATATCTAAATAGTCCAAATAAAATACCATAAATGACAATTGGATTAAAAAACTTAATTTCGAATTATTTGTGCCAATTATTGGCTAAAATACAGAAATTAAAGAAATTAAAAGGTTCCTAACGTCTACTATCCTCCATTTACAAACCTCCCAACCTTCCCAAAGTGATAGTAAGACGTCACCCAGTTAACAAAAACTATCTTTCTTGTTTCAGGTGACATAATGGACATCCTCGCTTTGACGAATTCAGGAATAAACTTCATCCTTTATTGCACGATGTCCAGGCAATTCCGTACAACCTTCCAAGAGGTGTTTAGACTGAAATATTTTTTAAAGTTCAATCCAATGTCCCAGTACGCCCACACAAATGGTAACGGAAACGATAGGAACGGAGAAAAAACTCAAATTTCTGCTGTCTAGTATAGGATGGAGTTCAGAAAGAAAAATAAATGTACTTATAAACGAATAGAGATCAATGTTGAGTAAAACTAAAATGGAAATAAAGAAAAGTGTCAAATTCTTCTAATATTAAAATGATAAAACTCAAAATTAGTCAAATATAAAGAAATTTCAAAACATAGGCGCAATAGGTCATGTTGCAAAAGTAAATCTGTACGTTGAAAAATCGGTTTTTAAACTGTGTCCAATTTTCAAAAATTCTGGTGTATTTTTCTATGAATTTAACATCGAAAAATAATTGACTAATGACCCATGTTTTGAGTTTTATTTTCTTAATATTGAATAAAACTCTTTTGACATTTTAAAACTGGCTCAATGAAATATTGATAGGGTTTGTTGAACCTTAAGGACAACATAGAAACTTACGTGATTTTTTCTACGACGTGCATAAAATTTAATATCAAAAGCAAATATAACAAAATTGGCTTGTATCGGTTTTGTTTCATTTTCGTGCATTTAATAATGGAATATCGTATACAAAGTCTGTTTAACTAGTAAATAAATGTGAGTTACATAGAATATTTTTTCTACGACCAGTGTGACCAGTGTGACCAACTTTTTTTACTTTATTGTATCGAAATCTAATTGTACTTTGATATTTAATGTAATTTTATTAATATTTTGTAAAATAAATTGGTATTTATAAATTTTGTATATAAAATGTGCTTATGAAATATTTCTTAAAAGATGTGTATATTTCATGTCAATATATTTTCGTTTTCCTTTCTGTTTTATTATTCCCAAATTTAGAAAAGTAATTATAAAAAGTTTACCACATTTAAATTATTAAAAGTTTAAAGACAACGTTAAAAAGTTATGTATTATTTTGGGACACACTGTACAGAAGGAATAATATTGGCGCCAATAATATAGATAAAAACTAAAACAGATATCGGAAACAATCTATGTCCTGACTTTCGTAAGAACAAAAAACACTCGTATATTACATTTTACAAATGGCTGGCAATTTTGAGTTGCGCTTAATCAAATTTTTCTAATTTAAATAAATGAATTTCAATTTCGTTCATTTCAAGATATTCGCAATTTTAATTAAAGAAACAAAAATTCCTTTCGTTGTTTCTCTTTTGACTTTGAAACAGAATAGTGGCATTTACAACATTCATTTTCTGAAATGAAATTGGCGCAGTAATAAAGAATTGTTTCGGAACAAAGCAACATAAAATGAAACTGAATTTTATATTGTTGGTTTTGCATCGCTATCAGCAGGACGATCACATATACTTTTTTCGATACAGGTCATCAACTAAAAACCTTGCAAAAAAATAAGGAAAATTCTTTAGGGGTTTATATATTGTTTTCAAGGGGTACTGAGCATGAATTTTAACTTTGCCAGCTCTAATTTTTTCTTTTTTGATAAATAAACAACTGTATTTTCTATCATTGAATCTTCGATATCCCAGATAGCACAAGTCAATCCATTGGATTGGACATATTGGCTATCTAAAGGACGTTTAGCACTTTACCGAAGGACATCCAATGGACATCCATTGGATTATACAAATGTCCCACTCCTTGACGTCCTTTTGAACTCCATGGAAGGTCCATATATGGACTCTTTTTTGTATTGCTTTTGGATAATGGAAAATGGACATCCATATGACATTATTTGGACAACATATGGATGTCCAATGCACGTCATGTGCTGGCTGGGATAATATTAATTTCGCGATATAGATTATTTAAAATAAAAATTAAAAAGAGAATATAAGAAAAAAAGTTTGATTAGATAGACCATTTCAGCTACTTAAAGTTTTGAAGAAATTTAACCTTATATATTGACCGGAAAAATCTGTATCAGATGTATGAAAAAATATAGTCGAAAACCATATAGCTCGGATGTTATACATTAAGTAAAAAAAAATCACTTTTGTTATTGTTTCTTTTGTAAAACTTTTTCCCTAAAAAATTCAAAGAGGCAAAGTTCAGATTCTTATTCAGCACCCTTAAAGCTACTAAAAAATTCTCTCTCCCCCATTTCTGAAATATTTTTTTTATTTATAGACATTCTGTCGTAACAATGAGTTTCTTGTCGGAATTCCCATTTGTAAAAAGCTTATCACTTTATCGGCATTTCAAAGTTGTTCAATTTCTTAGAAATTGGCGCAGTCTTACAGGATTCTTTCAATTCAAACCTACATAAAAACTCTGTTGAATTTCCACTTGTTGGTTTATCAATATTATCAGCGGAAGATTAGCAGGGTTTTGTGAAATAGCATTATATAAACGCAGAGCCGTTGTGATTTGTGATTTAAAAGAGATTTCGTATTTTTTTTATTGCTTTTTTGTCATTTTATTGTATTTTTGTTTAGGAAGTCAACAATTAATTATTTTATTTTTTCTGTTTGTGTCTTGGTGGGCAATATATTGCAGCTATTGTAATTTTCTCTCCTTAGTGTTAATGGTGCTAATGATTGCCTAATTTTCAGGTTCTTGATAGTGGAAAATGTTATTTCCACATCATGCTTCATTTAAGAGGTGGATAGAAGTTATAATTTCATAATTTAATATAGGATTCTATTATAAAAACGATTTTTTTTAACTTTGACACCATTTATTTAAAAAGATGTGCATTTTTTACCAATTCGGAGATAAATAATAATATAAAACAATTAAACTAGTTTTATTTTACTTTGTTGTTAATTCAAATCCACTGCTTTGGGCATATAAACTAAAACAACAAGACATTTCCAATAGACTCCCCCAAAAAGATTCTTAGAATTCTTTGAGGTTTGGCGGTAATTTTGCGAAGTTCGTGAACTGCATTATGAATTGAAAACAATTTATTAAATCAAAAGGGAGATACAAATTCCTCTGTCTTTCCATTTTGCGGCATCGCAAACTTTCCAGGAAATACGAAATGAAGCAATTAATAACTAGAAATAGCTTTGTTATGTATGCAAATAATGCAGTTCGAAACAATGTATTTTGTATAGCTTCCGTCTGAAACGCTCTGGTAATTTGTTACATACATATGTATACATACATGGTTAATAAACTGCCAAATATGCAGAACGTCCATCAATTTCCATAACTTAAGATAACACAAGGGTGTTTTGCAAAATTCCACTTAATAAAGTAAATAACGTAGAGTTTATTTATTTAAAAATAGTGTAAATACTAATTAATTTATCTGATAATTTAAATGTCTATATTCAACTTCTGTCTATAAACTTTTACATCTCCGACAGCATACAGCCTATTTATTCAACAATGCTGCGCACCGCACTGGTTTTAGAAAATTTCTAGAATGTACTTTATCAGATTAGGCAACTTTCTAGCAGTTTCTTCACCAAAATACCTCGCATTCTCCGCAGACCATCCGTAAAGAAGGGACAGCGAAATACAGGTGGATCAATAGGAGTTTTCGGAGGTGACTTCTTTAATTAAATATTTAGTGATGACTAAAATAAGATACAGAGCAACTTAAAGGATTAGCATGACCAGATTGGTTGAAAATTACTCCCACGATATTGTTCTCTCCTTAAGAGACTGTTCCTCCTGGAACTTTTTCAAGACTAAATGGTTGTATCTGCAACTGGTCCCTATTTTGCAATTTCCAGATGCATGAAAGTAAATTGGACACTGGGCGAATGGTTGCAGACCAGTATTTGGACTTGGGTTTCTTAGAAGATTACCTGTATTATGTTTCAAACGATGCTCCAATCCAGCTGGTTGCACTCTTTGGTATGGCTAGTTTCTGTAAGTGGATCGATAGTGGAAATAATTCTTTGTTTCTAGAGCGTGATCCATCTTTAAGTTTCAAAACTTTTATAGTAACTTCTCGTCTAATGGTAACGGCTTTTACAACGAGAAAATCAATGCCGGACTGGTTGAGAATGGCGTCGCATGACAATAATATAAAAAATAATTCGATCCGATATAAATATTCAATTTATATGGCTTCTATTGCTCTGTAAATACCTATCTACTTTTAAAATAAATACCCTTGTTGAAAAGAATCTTTTCAAGTTGTTTACATGAAAAAGAATCATCGAAGCAAGTACGAATACGATTGCAGTAGGTGTATATAGAACTATAGAACAGAAATTGAATTTTTTGGTAGCAAGCTATTTCAATATTCTTTACTTTGTCCTTTGAATCTACATTAAAAAATATTTCTAATAAATATATACATTGATCTTGTTCAGGTTTATAAAGTTTTATTGAATATTATATGAGAGTAGGAGCAAATAACCGAACTGATCATTATAAAAGGTTCAATTTTCTTTTGAAAAGAATTGGATATATATAAAACATGTGTTTACAAGCATCTCAAGAGGGATGTTAAAGGTCTAGTTATCTTTTTGTTTACTGTTTCTGAATTTTTGTTTGAATTTGTTTCTGTTTTTATCATTTGAAATTATGTAATTTGTTATAAAGTATTTTTTACTTTAGGTAATAACATTTCACTTCACTCCACAGCAGAGATAAACATTTAATTTTAACTCTAACTTTGATTTTGCTTCCTAAGAAGCGAACGTCATTCTTGGACCGACTTTGTAAGAACTCATCAGCAAGAAATATATATTCTCAATTCCAGTTTCTAATGAAATTAGCAAATCAATTCATATAATCGTAACGCCATCTACATTTAGCAAGTTGGGTTAAATTATTTTTTTCTTTTCCACACGAGACACCTTGTATAGGGCATAAAATTGTTTCATAATGTAGTCGGATTTTGCACTAGCGTGGGTTTAGTTTTTCTAAATGCCCTGTTCTACATACAATTTGACAAAAAAAAAATGCTTCAATTTTAACCCAGACTGTGTTAATTTATTCAATAACCAGCGTAGTGTAAAATTACTGCGTTCGAATTGATTATATAGCTCAGGAAACTTGCCCATCAGTCCGAATACTGCAAATTCATTAGGTATAGGCCGTAAATATATGCACAAAAATTGGCAACCGAACCGAAGGAAAAACGAAACCAATTTGATTTAATTTTCAATAAAGCAAAAGCTTTTTACAAACAATATGTAGATGGTGGAGATAAAAACTAATTTATTAATCCTATAATAAATATTAAATAAAAACAATAACAATAAATAAGATAAAAAGCTTTGTTTTCAGGTTAAACATCTGCTTCTAGTTAAACTAAATTCATCCTTCTTCCAATATTAGTATTAATAAAACATTGATATTGTTGATATGATCTTTAGTAATGCTCATAAACAAAATATTTCTTATTACATCACTATTCCTGAATGATATACTGTGGTGTCCTATGCTTAATCATTTTTGGAGTCTTCACTTTTTTGTATATTTCTTTCTCACCTATTTTTTATTATTCATACCTACTAGTTTATAGGGTTAGTTGTCCCTTTTGTTGGATTATTTTATTTGACTGTGATGTTTTCTATAATTTTATTAAGGTCTACCATTTAAATAAAGATCTCTGTTCTCAAGATTAAATTTGCTAATATATTCTACCCATGAAGTAATGCAAAGAACAAAATCTGTTTGTTTTTATATGGGTTCAACGATCTCCATCTCTTTTAATAAAGAAAATGTCTCCCTCTGCTTTGTTTTCCCAAAGAATATACTTATTTGCTATATACGTCAAACAAGCTGTTATTTTTACCCGAGGAAAGCTGTTTTATGTATAGTTTGATATAGTAGCCGCTATTTTAGATCACGTTTATGAAAATATATTACGCGAAAAGCTTTTATTGTTGCATATACCACGCGGATATAACAGTGCACGCTGAGAACAAAAATTTATAGGTATACGTGAAAAATTCTTTTACAATTTAACACGAGAGGTATACACGTAGCCTAGCTCAAGAAGTAAAGTGATTGTGTTTTTAAAATAAAATAAAATAAGCTATATATTTGGTACGAGAAAATGAATTAAGTAACCATTATTAAAAGAAAAATAATATTAAATGTAATAGTTAAATACCGAAGAAGGTCTAAACTAGGCATCGAAAGCTTTACAAACTTAAATTCCAATAATTTTATTAAATCAAATACCTAAATTATTATAAAATTATTCAAATCCAAATGAACACTCAATTAATTTTTAAAGTAAACCACTAGATAAAGCTGAACTTTCCAGCAGGCGTATATTAATCATTTTCTCAAATATAATAATCCTTTCAGTGAACGCGAGAAAAGCTTTCGTATTAAGAAACCCTATATACAGATTGCAGATAATCAAAACTTTAAGCAGTTAATTTTAATTAAATTGGTAGTAAAGTCATTTTAACTTATGGTGTAACAGCAAATTGGATACTTGAAGTTTCTAAAACAGTTAGACCTTCAGAAAATACAATTTCTTTAAATTTATGTAGAAATTGTTCAACTATAAAAACTAGAAAGAATGAGTCAAATCGGCAATGGGCAAATCCCGTTTTTGTGAGATTTACCAAATGTTCTATAAGTAACGGGTTATTTGTTAGTGATTTCCATTTTCCTTTGTGTGTTTTTCTTAAAATATTGGGGAAAACGTATTATTAATTGTAAAAAATACTTCCTAACATTTAGTGGTAAACACATTTTCTTCGTTCTCAGGTGTCATGGAGTTAAATCGTTGGTATTTTCAAAGCATCTTGACCGGACCAGTCACCTACCTGTCAAATTTTTTATTAGTTCATCGATATATCTAATAAAACTTTAAAAACATCATTTTTATAAGATTAGTTTATACTTACTATTTTTTAATCTCATCAGAATATTATGCCTAGGTTCAATTTGAATAGAATTTCCATATACATTTAGGAAGACGAACTATTCTACCGATGTAATTGGATGTTCTGAAAGTTCAATTTCATAGCAAAATGAGTTTAAACCTGATCTAATTTTCTATAATTCGAACCGTCAGCATTTCTATTATTTCAATTTAGATTATTTACATTTAGATTAGGTACATTGGAATTTTGATGCAAATAAAATAGTTTATGTGGGAATAATTGGCGTATTTACAATTATTATACACTAGAGAATTATGTGATTAATAAAACCATTCAGTATACTTGTTATTCCTTTTTTTTAATAAATTATGAATGATGGTGCGATTTATTCTTATTACAAATTATGATTATTGATCATTTCCGTTTTTTCTCTGCTATAACTCTACCTCCAAGTCTTGATACTTCCGTTGAACCTCTAGGGAAATACATGAACGGATCTCTCTTATCTCTATCAGTTAGAGGCTCAATAAACCATCCATAGCTGCAATATTATAAAGATAATTTTAATGCTGCAGTAAATCATTAAAAATAAAATAAAAAAATAAAATGAAAATGATAGTATAATAACAGAGAAATGAAAATATAAAAAAGTAAACAAAGAGTAAATATTGATTTACCTACCATTGGCTTACAGTTTCTGGCCACGGAATTTTCATCTTTGGCGGTGCTTCAATGGCTAATTTTACCTTGGCAAGCATTTTGGGGTCCGCGTCAAATGCGCCGGCTTCATGTTTGCTAAAAACCTTTGATGCCAATAACGGAGCTAAAATAGTTTTAAAATATATATTACTGAGCTGATTTTTGGAAAACCCATTAGGAGTAGAAATTTGGTAGATATTCCGAGGGTAATATCTAAAGAAATATTAACTCTAAGAAAGAATTCGGGTATGATCCTTTCACAGGTGATATATTAAAACAAAGAAAAGAAAATTATGATACTAAAACCTGAAAAACCACCAAACAAAGTTGAGTGCTATAGATGCATATCCCTGTCTAAACTTATCAAAAAGAATTTACTAAAGAGATTGAAATTCATCATAGACGGCAACAATGTAAAACTATATCGCCAATTTAAATTTAGGAACAAGATTCACTAAATTGTGTAAAAACAAAATACATTGCGTGTTCTGTTCCTGTACATTTATATATTTTGTTTTCTATTATTTTTATATACATATATATTTGGGCATATATTACTTATATTTTGTTTATGACTGCTTTGCGTTTCATAATTTTTTATATTTAATTACGATAAAGGTTAACTTGATTCATATTTCTCCATTTCCCCTATTCCAATAGTCAACCGTCCTAATTCTATACTTTGAACCCGTTTTTTGTCCTTCACCGATTTGGAAGTCTGTCGAACTGCCACACAGAATGAAACCGCATGTTATGTTATGTTGAGAATGGGATGCGACCTAAAAGATCTATTGTGCCCCCTTCTATCGCCACTGCACTAAGGAAATGTCTTAATGCCTATAGCGACCCTTCCAATCCTATTTTCTCAAGCAAGTGTAGGATTTGAAGTGGCTTCGAGTTAGGTAAATCTGTCTTTCCTATTTGATATCCTCCTAGATATAGTACCCTTGGATTCTGAAGTGCTACACATTCAGTTAGGATGTGAATGGAGGTTTCGTCCTCCTCCTCACATAATCTGCACTCACTATCCTCTACTACTCTCAGTTTACTTAGGTGTCCTTTTAGTCGGCAATGCCCGGTAAGGATCCCTGTTACAATACGTAGCCTGTTCTTGCTCAGGCAGATGCAGGCTTCCGATATTTTCTTGTTTTATTCACCCAGAAGTATCTTGGCCTGTCTCAGCCCCAAGAGATTGTTCCAATTATCGGTTTTTCTACTGCTCAATTCTTTTTTAATCTCTCCAAATATTATGTTACTGCTGATACCGCAGAACGGCTCAGGTCCTACAAAGTGTGTTTGAGCCCCTTTCCTTGCAAGACTATCTGCAATCTCGTTACCCTGTACCTGGACCCAAGTGAGAGTAACTATTTTTCTCGCCTAGCTCATTCAATTGTTCTAGGCATCTCCAGGCCATTTTTGAGCTGATTACGTAAGAGCTCGGCGCTTTGATGGCTACTTGACTATCGGACATGATGATAATCTCTTGTCTATGATAGTTTCTCTCGATGTTAAACTGGATACACTTCTCGATGGCGTGAATTTCTACCTGGAAGATGCTTGGGTATTTTCCCAAGCTTTCGGAGTGCTTGGTTCTCGGCCCATACACTCCTATTCCAGTTCCTTCTATGGTTTTGGAACCGTCCGTATACCACTGAATAGCACGTCTTTCGGTTGCAAGCGCGATGGATTCTTGGCTCCATTCTTTCTTGCAGCCCAGCTCTGTGGTTTTGAAGTTTTTCACAAAACTGTACTTCTTTTTCATTTCATCCTGGGGCATGTCCCAGGTATCTTTAGTCCTGAAGCAAGTAGACTTTCGTCTGATTACTCCGTTCCTGATCATTCTATATCGTGTCCTTTTTGCCACATTGTCTATCATCAAATGTAGAGGGGTGAGGTTTAAGATCACCTCCATAGCTCTTGTAGTAGCTAAACTAGTTCTGTTACTCCAGGCTATAGCCCCGTAAGTGATGATTGGTCTTACTATTGCAGTATACATCCATCGCAGTATGTTTGGGTTACATCCCCATCGTTTACCAGCAATGTTTCTGCATACAATTAGGGCGTTTGTGGCCTTATTTACTACTTCCTTCTCATGTGTGTTCCAAAGAAGTTTGTTGTCCAGGGTTAGGCCTAGATATTTGACTTCATTTTTCCATTCTATATCTATCCCGTCTAGTTTAACGGTTTTGAGATTAAGTTTTCTTTTCCTTGAAAAGGCTACTAGTGTTGTTTTTGTAGGGTTTATACTAAGTCCCATTTCACGGTACCATCTTTTGGTATGTTCTAGTCCTCATTGGACTATATCACACAGGATATTACTAAACTTGCCACTAGCAAATATGTCGTCGGCATAACCTTGAGATGTGCAGATGGAGATGGTGTCCTGCCCTATCTGTGTCTCTACAGTTCTCGTAGATAACAGCTGAGCCATCCATCTGGATGTGATGTTATCTACTCCTCTGTATGCAAGTGCTCTTTTTACAGAAGGCACACACGACCGTTTCTTTGTCATTGCATCCTGGATTAAATCAGTCAACTGTACCAGGGCAGTTTCTGTAGGTCTTTCTGCTCGGTAGGCGGGTTGGCTGTGGTGGAGTGGCACCCTCTCCAGGACTTCTATTCTGATATAATTATCAACAGCTTTCTCCATTGTTTTTAACGCGGTCGTGTTAAATTGTAAACTATACAGATTAAAATTGATCCCAACCGGCAAAAATTTTAATGGAAGTTTCATCCCCAGTACATAAGGAATACGATTGCCGTTCCCTCCTATCCGGTAAGTTTGAGTAAACGTTTAATTTGTTCATTTACTTCTTTTTTATTTCATTTTTTTTATTATTATTATTAAAATAATTAAATCAACACTAAAAGGTGAAACATTAAATCTATGAACTCAGCGCCCCTATCATTACAGTCCGGAACTACTAAGAAAATAATTATATAATTTTGGATATATAATGTTCATTCAATTTTAGTATATCCTTTTCAGAAGCTAGTTCCGAATCATTGCGCATGTGCAGTGCATAGTTCCGAAGTTGGAAAACTAGAACCGAAAAGGGAAGTTTCGTTCAAACAATAGTTTTTCTTCTTTCACAATAATTAACGGTCAGTATTAATAATAGATATTTATTATTTATTTAAATGACACTATATTAAATATTGAATGTCTTTATTAATCTAGAAACAAACGGAATATTTTGTTCTGTTTAAAAGCCTTGTTTAATATCAAAAAAATAAATATACGACTATTCTCAGGGGTATTAATCAAATATCTTTAAAATAATTTTAATGACAGTCTCTTATTTTCCTAATGAAATAAAAAAAAAAAAACAAACCAGGAACCTCGGAGTAACCTTGAAATGTAAAAAGAAATACGACGAGAATCTGTTTCTTTTAATATTAAAGCCGTTATAATGAGATAATGAAAGGTAGAATTAAATAAAAAGGAACAAAATCAGATTAGCTGTGTTATTAATTCGTTGATGATTCCGAGGTAATTTATTTAAGAAAACAAGAGTTATGTCGACCAAGTAATTCGTTAGAAAAATCTTTTACTTGCATTTATCTTGCATAATATTGGTTTTTGTTTGAAATTATTTAATCCATAGGTCTCAGAAAATATTAGTAGGTGACTTATTTTTCTCTAAAATAGCATTTGTCAATGTGGTTTCTCGAGGTTCCATTCTTGGTTCCCTTCTTTACTTACTGTATACTTTCTGTTAAAATATTGTACATAATATAATTTTTATGCGCTTCAACACTAACAACATTCAAGAAACTTACATAAATATAAATAATGATTTAGAAAACCTTGTCAAAATATCTGATAAACATAATACAATCAGTTCAGCCAAATCGAAAGCTTTTTTCTAATTTTATATAAATACCAGTATACCTACCCTTTTACACGCTTTCATTAAATATCCATTGCACCCAACTTTGAGAAGTGGGGGTGATAAAAACGACACAGATGTTCTTTCACAAATAGATGTCGAAATTAGTTCAATTTTGCGCACATGATTACATAGCTACAAACAAGCATAATGCCTGGACGAATTCATTATAGTCAATAGGAGAGATAAGGATAAGACTGACATTTTTAGAAACAATTACGGGTACAAAATACTAAGGAGATTTAGCTTAATATGGAGGAACATTTAAATTAATGATAGCTGTTGGACAGATGTACTGGAGAATAGTCTTTTTCTTCAGCCGATACAGTCTTAAAATAGATTTATTTCTCGAATTAAATATATAGGGTAAAGAATCAATGATCTTTTCTACACACACAAGAGAATTAATTGCAGCTACGTTTTCAGATTGCCACAATAGATCCATATGAGTTGGAGTGAAAAGATATAAGTTCATCCAACTTATTTTAAATCTTACCTGTATGCAACATTTTTGGACTTTAAGACATTTGGTCTCTAAGGCCACTCAGCAAAATTTTCAAAGGAATTGAAATCCCCTTTCTGTTTGTAATTCAAAGTATGAGTGTGAAATAATTTAATAAAACAAGATTCAAAGTGAATTGACTTTATTTTTCGACTCGTTAAGATGCACACAACTACGAAATAAAAATATGACAAAAAAGCTGTTTCTTCAAGGTAAAAACAGTAGGTATTGAAGGTATTATAGAATTAGAGAGAGATGGACAAAAATTAATCAAAGAAAATGGAAAAATTAATTAAACAAAATATATTTATAATGTCGATTTACCACAGAATGTAGTTATCGTTTAAAGAAAATGGAGTGATTCATAAAAGCCTTGTAGAAACATCTCATTTCCTTTAAGGAGATTTTAGTATATTATTACAGTATTTATAGGTACTTACTTTTATATTTAGGTATAAATTGATCGTAGACTCGCCAATATTTAGTTTCAGAATCGCATCTCACTTTAAGCAGTATATCGTTTCTTTCTTGCGCTAAAATCCTCTGCATTTTAAATTTTTTATATGTCACTTTATGTCAAAATTCATTAAGGCTCATTTATATGATTAAATGTGACAAAAAGTAAAAAACTGCTTGTGGTGCGTTTGATTTGATCATCGGAGATCTCCGAGCGCTGCAAACGTGTTTGTCTTCATTTAAAATCTCAAAATACCAAGATGTAGGCTACCAATTTAACATTTTGGAAATATGTGTTGCCTAACCTAGTAGTAATTGCATGAAAATGACCGCGCCTTATGTTGGGTGTGTCGGACGTCTCTCTTGCACCGTATAGTAATAATTAAAGTATGTGGTTTGTTTCGCTTTGGAGCGAGATTATAGAGCGAGCTCGATGTTCTTAGAGCAGAACACATACTTTGATTACTATACGGTGAAAGAGAGAGGTCCGACACGCCCAACATAGGGCGCCGCCATTTTGATGCCTTTACCATAGTTTATAGCTAAAGAATCAGTTCGCCGACTCTGCGTCGGCACTTTTGATCTCAATGTTCCAGTTTATACACTGCGCAACTCGGATAATACAATATATGACAACCGCCTATATTCAAACAGCAGTCTTCTGCGCATCCTCAAATTGTATCCCTGAACTGGATGTTATTTTGGAATATTCAACTGGTCCAAGTGAGCTAACTGATTCTTTAGCAATAAACTGTGCCTTTACTACTAGGTTAGGCAACACATATATTTCTAAATGTTAAACTGGTTGTCTATACATCCTGGTATTTAGACAATGAAAAGAGAACAACAAAGCACTAAAAATTAACATACAATCACCAATGAATTAAAAATAATCGTGTAAAACACGTCTAAAACACAAAATGATGTATAAATCCTCAAAACTTGTTCGTTGGGGCAGGGCCGCTGAGAGCCATGCCGGGCCCCGTGAAACAAAAAACTATTCTCCCTACTTCAATTACAAAAAAAAAAAGGTCCTCACATCAAAAAACTATTCTCCCTACGTCAATTGCTTCTCCTTCTAAAAAAAAAGGTCCTCACATCAAAAAGCTATTCTCCCTAACTCAATTGCTTTTTCTTCTAAAAAAAAAAAAAACAGCCGAAACTTAACTTCCCACTCTCATCTTGTGTCGAATTTCTCATGCAGAACAGAAAATGCTGTTGTCGGGACCCCCTTACAGCGCTGCCGGGTACCCCCCCTCTAGTCGGCCCTGCGTTGGGGTTTCACTGACAGCAGTAAGCAAAATATTAAAAATATTGTGCCAAGATGTAGGCAACACCACATACTTTGATTTTATTTTACTATACGGAAAATGGTCGCACTGCGCAGCTTTCTGAGTGCCTTTTAAAAGGAGATAGAAAACTTCACCATACTGAACCCTTATTCGTGTTGCCTACATCTTGCCGCAATATTTTTAATAGGTGCGTTTTAATCATCCGCCTCTGCTTCGGAATTGTCGGTTTTACGTGTTGCCTACATCTTGACGCAATATTTTTAATAGATGCGTTTTAATCATCCGCTTCTGCTTCGGAATTGTCAGTTTTCTTGTTTTAATCTGACAGGTTAAAACGACTAAACCGACAATTCCGGAAGCAGAAGCGGATGATTAAAACGCACCTGATATTTTGCTTGCTGCCACATACTTTGATTACTATACGAGGCAAGAGAGAGGTCCGACAGGCCCAACATAGGGCGCGGCCATTTTGATCCCTGTGACACAGTTTACAGCTAAAGAATCAGATCGCTCACTCTGCGTCGGCACTTTTGATCTCAATGTTTCAGTTTATACACTGTGCAACTCGGATAATACAATATATGACAACCGCCTATAATAAAACAGCAGTCTTCTGCGTATCCTGAATTTGTATCCCTGGAGTGGATGTTATTTTGGAACTTTCAACTGGTCCGAGTGAGCTAACTGATTCTTTAGCAATAAACTGTGACTTCAAAAATAATATTCACTGACACTGACAGCAGCAAGCAAAATATCAGGTGCGTTTTAATCATCCGCTTCTGCTTCCGGAATTGTCGGTTTAGTCGTTTTAACCTGTCAGATTAAAACAAGAAAACCGACAATTCCGAAGCAGAAGCGGATGATTAAAACGCACCTATTAAAAATATTGCGCTAAGATGTAGGCAACACGTAATAAGGGTTCAAAATGGCGGAGTTTTCTATCTCCTTTTAAAAGGCACTCAGAAAGCTGCGCAGTGCGACCATTCTCCGTATAGTAAAAGAAAATCAAAGTATGTGATGTGAGGCAACACGTAATATGGCACCAAAATGTCGGAGCTCTCTTCTCCTTTTAAAAGGCACTCAGAAAGCTGAACAGTGCGACCATTCTCCGTATAGTAAGAGAAAATCAAAATCAAAGTATTTGGAGCAGAAGGATTGAGAAGAGGAAGAAATTTGTCTTTGTCTCTACCTATCTCTTTTTAATTAACCTACAAACAAACTGGAATTTCAAAACTCAAGACCAGATAAGAAGGCAACAAATTACTTAGCCGCTCTTGTCTTATAGCTAAAATTATTTATAATAAAAAAACAAAATGTGTGTTTGAAAAATACATTTTCTCTGCTCAGATCTAATCACCAGTAATCACAAATCACAGTCATGGAGTTTGAAAGCAAAGCAGGCATTTGTAGTATGTGCTGCAATTCAACTGCCCCTGATTATTAAAAGTTTTTCCATTTTCTTTACTATTTGACACACAAACCAAAAACAAGAATCACAAAAAAGTGAGGTTGTTTTTTACTCTGTTTTTTACTCTGTTTTATAATTTGATTCAATGCTCTGTTGTGACGTCATCACTTCTCGTTCTCCTCGACGCTCGTTTGATCGAGTTTCAAATCAAACGACCCGTTGTATAACCTTCGCAGTTATTTTCAATTTTTTATAAAAATCCATAGAAACTTTAACAGCTTTAAATAAAAATAGATTATAGAAATAATTCCTAGAAAAAGTTGAATGAAAGTTGGTTTTTTGTGAATATATTTATTATGTACTTATAGTATTTTAACCACTAAGGGATGAGTTGATATTTTTTATACATAATTTGTTATTAACTCTTTTGGAAAGAAACAAAATAACTTTTTCTAGCTCCATAGTAGATGCCTAGAGTCAGGGGCAAATATTTTAATAATGACTAAGGAGAGAATTTCTTACAAATTTAAATTTTTTTCAAATTAACAGTCTTTATAGTTGGTTTCGTGGGATAACGAGCTAACTGCTCATTAGGCTCACAAAGGGACAGAGAGGCCATTTCCCTCATAGCTTCATTGCCTACATTGCCTCCATTGTCTCTATTGCCTCCATTAATCCAGTTTTCACCATTCCCCATTGCCCATATCGATCCTATTGCCCAACTGTCCTTCTTGGATCCACTGGTGCTTATTCTAGTCGATATCAAACAAAAAAAAATATGATATGTCTAACACAGGACTTTCCTGTAGAAAAAAAATTACCCTTTAGGCTTTAGGAAGACGAGTACTTTTCAAATATATCATCGAAAACACCTATAATTCAACATTTTAAAAATATATATATTAATGGATTTTGAAGATCATTTATGTAAACTTATTTATTAGAATTATATGTCATGCTCCGTTATTGGAAGAAATATAAAAAAGTTTCTTTTCTTGACATAACATTTCCAAAAACTTTAAAAAACACTACTTCTATTAATTTATTTCCAGTCAAATCCGACATTTTATTCATCCATTTTGATTGAATTGATGTAATACTTGATAATTAAATATTAATATTACATTATGTATAATAGCTAGTTATGAAACCAGCTACTAAATGCATTATGTTATGTAACGAAAATTAGGACAATTACCCGCTATAAAGTACACTCTCTGATGCTCGGATTATGCCCAAAAGCTTACCGCAGGAAGGATAAAAGCCTAAGTATAAATACCGTATTTCTATCTTTATTCGTTATTGAGTTATCGTGGATATAGGCACACAAACAGACATCATCGCGAAAATGGTCAAGCCGGATTCAGGGGACTTCATAACGTGAAAATCCGTATTAATTAAATTATGTATTTAAACTATCATTTAGTAGCGCCCTAATAAGCTGTTTCATCAGAGAAACTCTTCTCATTTTTTATGTGTTCCATATTTATCACCCTTAAAATTACTGTTCTACAATTTTGTTTCACTTTGTATATTAAATTAACCAATAAAAAAATATAATTTCCAATAGGTATCTAAGAACTACTATTGATCAACACTTATGATTCACCTTGTATGTTTAATTAGCAAATGAAATAAACATAATTTTCCGTATGTAATATTAAGTAGAAACGGCATACAATAGAAATTGCCAAATTTAAATAAACAATATAATTTATTCCTAAATAAATGGGACATCCCGTATAAACGTCGTCCTATGTACCTTACTCATCCCAGCCAATCATAATTTTATTATGCATAACATTTTTGTACATGCGTAAACGATTCCCACTACTAAAACAGAAAAAAGTGTTTACCAGTTTCTTATCAGGTTGTCAGTGAAAAGATTTATTTATTTATTTATTTTAAAAGGTTACATTTTGTGAATTGTGCAAAGACTGTTTATTGAAAACATTTTTGAAAATTATCCTTGTTAATAATATTGTGTGGTGAAAAACAGCAATTTGATATAAAGGTAAGATTTATCTTTTAAAATTTAGGTAATATGATAACGTTTTGCTTACGTTTTACTTTACAAACCCGAATTTCAAAATATTTTTTGCAATATTAGATAATAGGAGTTAAATATTATGAAAATTAATATAAAATTTCTGATAACCAAAGTTAAAGTGGGAAATTTAATGAAATTTAACCAAAATATCTTGTAGCTGTACAAGGTTGCCAGTCGTTTTGATATGTAAGAAGATATATATCATTTTTTAAATTCATAGTAAATTTATTATAGGTACATTTATATAAATAAAAGTTATAGGTATATCTTTTTTATTTTGATTAGGTAATATAAGAATCTACAGGGGTATTTCAAAAAGTTGTATAAAAATAGAAAATAGGTTATCTTGCATTTCACAA